GGCACCACTGTAAGCACAATAGTTAAGATTGTTTTAGCTATGCTTTTGACTTTATTTTCATTCCTTTCTTCTTAACTTGCAAAAAACCATTACCCACTTTTTGCAACAAACTCAATCATCCTTTTTTTTCCTTTCCTGCCCCCTATAAGAACTTCTTAGTGCTAGCTGTTACATAATTTAACATTTTTGTGTTTTGTTTTATTCAGGAGTGTGTCAATAAGGTACTAAGCCATAAGGCAGATATATGTATATAATGGCAATATATCAGACAGAAACTATGTAGCTTTATTTGGAGCAAAGAATGTCACACTGATGGTGATTAATGTAGATGACAACCAATTTCTTGAGTTATAAGGCTAATTAGAAATGAAACCGAATCACCCTGAAAGGACAATCCCTCTGAGCATCTGGCAATAATCAGAAAAAGCTTCTATTAGTTCTATGCTATCTCAGTAATTCACCACAATGAGTTCCATCTTAAAATGTTCTGTTTTGCACTCAAATTTTATTTTAATTTTTATGTTATAATTTGGCAGTAATTTTTGTATTTCTTAGTGTTGTCTTCAAATTAGTTATTTAAATCACCAGATATATGCATGCAAAATTAGAAAAAATTTGTAAGAGTTTAAGAAGAGAAAAAATGTTAAAAAGAGAAAAAAATAAGTTCCGAATTTTGCAACTATTATCCTCTCCAAAATATGATCTTCTTTCATGTCACTTTCATGTCTTCTTCTTTTCTCCCATATTATCCACGTAAAAAAACACGAGGAAAAGCAAATCATTGCATAGTAGAATAGTAAGAGCCCTTATCCAGAAAATAATTTTGTATTTACACTCTCAATATTTTTGTTCAAGTCCAGAAAAATTTTAGAAACCATTTTCACTGTGTCTATAATGAAGACTAAGATGATTCCTGAGTTGTCCATCACCTTCAGAATTCTATATTATGTACTAGTCAAAGTAAAGATGAAAAGGCCGGGGAAATGGCTCAGTGGAATAAGCTCTTCCCTGGCAAGCGCAAGGGTATGAGCTTGATCCCCAATTCCACCAAAAAAGTAAAGATGAAGGCACAAAGACAAATATAACAAATCCTTCACTAAATAAAGGCCACATTTGACTGAATAAGTTTCCTTTATAAAAAATGTAATGATATCAGCTTAATGAGCCCTTTACTAAGGAGCTCCTGAAGGGCTGCTCAAAGCACAGAGCTCAAGTTATTTATACCAGAAATAAGAAGGGTAGAGATGCCCCTGCCACTGGTGAAAATGCATGATGAATAGGCTCAACCAGGTGTACATTTGGAAAAAATAAAATTTATTGTTAAATTTAAAAAAATGTAATGAGTAAAGATAACGAGAATGTATGAAAATTCCTACTGTCATTCATTAAATTTGTGAATGAATTGCAATGTGATTTTGTCAGAACACATCTGTTTCAATAACAAAATGAAAAAAATTAAATAATCTATACTTATCAAGAACAGGATTTCCCAAACTTTATTACAAAGAATATTGTTCTTAGTTGTATAAAATGTTAATAATTGCATATACATAGGTACTGTTTCCTTTAAAGGTTTTCCAGACCTACTAATTCACTTAGAGAAAATCAAAACATAGAATAGAAGAAATAATAATTTTACAGGGGAGAAAATTTATACAACGCAATTTAGCCAAATGATTGAAGTTAATAATGACGAGTCATGTTGATATTACATAATTATTTCCCTAGTAAGATATGATGATAACAGTGTATCGCCTTTGTGATTTATTTCAAAAAATTCTATAGCCCTAGTCTAGCCATGAGAAATAAAATCAGGAATACTCAATTTGAAGGACATTCTGTAAAATGCCTGATCTTTATTCCTCAAAATTACCAAAGTAAAGAAAACCAAGAAAGATTGAGAAATACACCTAACAATTAAGTGAACTGTGGGTCTTTGACTAGATTTTGAAACAGAAAAAAAATGCATTAATTAGAAACAAGTCATATAAAGTGTGGAGTTTGGTTAACAGTAGCACACTGATGCTGATTCCCTGCATTTGACAAACCTATTGATATAATATGAAATGATACGGTAAAAGGACACTGACATTGGCTAAAGGGTACATAAGAACCCTCCCTGCACTATCTATGTAATTGTTTGTAAATCTGAAGTTATTCCAAATTTATTAGGAATACCTTTGAAGGTTTACCTGAAATATTTATTTATTTATTTTATTATTTTTTTTTCTTTGGCAGAACCGGGGAATGATCTCAGACCCTTGTGCTTGCCAGGCAAGCTTTTATTCTACTGAGCCATCTCCCCGGCCCCTACCTGAAATATTTATGAAACGGCACATTGGAAAATTGCTTTGGAAACTTTAGATTAAGCAAATGACATTTGTCATTGCTTGTAATTATCTGAGTCTCTGTGATATATAATGACTATTGTAATATTAACACAGAAGATATAGGATGATGTATTTCCCAAACATATTTAACTAGCAACCTTTTTATTCTTAAAAATAATATCTTCCAATAAAAGTGCAGATATAGAAAGGATTTCTCCCAATGTGTCACAGTCATCTAGAATGAAGCATGTTCTATTTTTAATCAACCACTTTGGTTGAGTAAAGAAAATGCATGAATACTAAATTATCAGAAGATTGTAATTTAAAGACTAGTAGGAGGGGCTGGGGAGATGGCTCAGTGGAATAAGCGCTTCCCTGGCAAGCGCAAGGGCCTGAGTTCAATCCCCGGTTCCGTAAAAATAAATAAATAAATAAATAAATAAATAAATAAATAAATAAAAATAAAGACTAGTAGGAGGATTGTGAGTATAACCTTTAGTTTATACTTAATAGGCTACTTTGAAACTTAATGGTATAAATGTAAATAAATATGTAGTCTACCTTTAATTAAAACAAATGCAGAAAACAAAATCAAGTAAGTGTAGGGTGAAAACTGGGTTTAAATCTTCATCATGTTACTATAAGTAGCATTGTGTGTAAAGAATTCTTTAGTTGAACTAGTACAGCTGTCATGCTCAGGGAAGAGACCTTGCTGGTAGCAACAAGGGCCAAAGGAGATCAAGTGCGTTTTAGAAACTGGGTCATAACAAGAAATGCTGAAAAAAATGAGAGCGTTTCCCTAGTAAACATAAATCCTTTAATTTCACAGTATTCCTTAAATATAAGCAGGTATAAGAGAATGGAATCTACCTGTCATACCTTTAGATGTCAAAATAAGCATGTCAAGAACCAAAATGAATCCGCTTTTGTAAACCATTTAACTGCTTCATAGTAGAATAATGGAAGAGTCATTCTTGAAATGAATTAAATTTCCTGCCTCTGGGAATATGTAAATAGGAACTGGATGTCCACCTGTACAGATTTCTGTCAGTTTGTCTTCTACATTGTACCTAGTAAACAGCCTCCACATAGCCTCATAATGACAACATCTTGGAATCTATGAATCCACAAGGAAGGAAAAAAATGAAAGGCACTGGGAAAAGTGGCAAACCATTACTAACACCTTTTAAGGTACCTTAGGCCTCACTCTATCTTCTGATCATTCCTGTGGATGCCTACAGACTCTTCAAGCAAGCACTAGAGTTTAGCTAAAGAAACAGAGACAAAATATCCTTGTGTGCACCCACGAGAATGCTCGTGGTGTAACTGAAGTTATAGTAGAGGACAGGGAAGTGATTAATTTACCTAGACCATGTTGTTACTTCAAAATAAACTTATAAATATACAAAGTAGTTGATTTAATTTTTTTTCTTCTATGGAAATAATTGACTTATAAAAAGGACATCATGTGTAAGTTCAAGATCTTGTTTTATGGATTTAGTAAAGAGTCTCACTACACAGATCAGACTCGTAGTGATCCTCCTTTTTTCAGCCTCCCAAGCACTGGGATTACAGGTATGCAACATCACGCCCAGTCTCAGTGAGCCCCAAGGGCGGGGCCGGCATGGCACAGGGATCAAACCCCAGTCCCTGTGCCAGCCTAAGCAGGAGTTTTAGTCTGCTGAAGTATCTGGCCTGCCCTAGTTCAAGATCTACTGCAATGTTCTGTCTAAGCTGAACTACAACTACTTAGGGGAATGTAAGCAATGCATTTAGGAAACAATGGTTAAGGAACAGAACATCCCTCAACTGATGGATATATAAAGTGTTGTACATATGTATAAGTAAATATACTTCAGGCATAAGGGGATGCAATTCTGCCATTCACAACAACAGGGACGGAAAAGAAGACCATCCTGTCAGGTGAAATAAGACATAGGAAAGATAGACTACATGATTTTACTCCTACAAGTTGAGAGTACGATATCAATTACCAGATACTGAAAGGAGTAGTGAGGAGGGAGACTTTAGTAGCAATTGGTCGGAGGGTACTAATTTAAAGAGAAGAATAAGAAATTCTGGTGCTCTAGTCATCACTAGGGTGACTACCTGTGAAATTTGTGTATGGTATATTTTAAAAATCTACAAGAAAATATTGTGTAAAATATTGCATCTGACAATATTCAGAAAAAGCTTCCATTAGTTCTGTGCTATCTCAGTAATTCACCACTTTTTGGTCATAAAGAAATTATACATTTGAAGAGGTAGGTACATTGACCCCAATTTGAACATCATATCAGGTAGACATGTATCAAAACATCACATGGTACCCCATAAATATGTACAATTCTTATATGTCAGCTAAAAGTAAATTTAAAAAAAATAAAGACCCTCAACTTTGTGAAAGTATAGGAAAGGTTAGCCCCTGAGAGTGAATATCTCTTTAAATTTTGTGTCTCAAAGTGCTGCTTACATCATACTAGGCTCACTCTTGTGATTGGTAAAGCCATCAAAGCCCCTCCCTCTGTTTGTTTACATAGATCATAACTCCCTGAAAACAACTGGATACAGCCAGTTGGTTGAGAGCCTGAGAGAGAGAGGCAGCGGATGTGTCCTCTTCGGAACTGTATGTAGTAAACCGTGCGGGACAAACATTGCTACTATTGGGCAATGTCAGGGACCCCAGAGCAGACTGGGTCGGAGCCTAATTCAAGGGACTTTCAAGTGAATTTCGAGGAAAGGGATGGTGGCGGCAGAGGCCGAGGCCGGGGCCGAGGCCGGGGCCGGGGCCGGGGCCAGGGCCGGAGCCTGGGCCGGGGCTTGGACCAAGGCCGAGGCCATGGCTGTGGCCATGAGTGTGGTCCACACCAAGGCCTAGGACAAACTGCAAGCTGCAGCAGGGTCTCCTTTGACCATCCGGAACCCAGGGTAGCAGACTCTCGTGAACCACCACTCTGCTTTAGCTTAAAGAACTGTATGATTGGTGCTGTAATTGGTCGTGGTGGTTCCAAGATAAAAGACCTTCAGAGTTCCACGAACACTAAGGTACAGATCATAAATGGGAATCCTGAAGCAGAAGTAAAAATTTTTGGTAGCGATGAGATGAAGAGAAAGGCCAAAGCAGCTATAGACGCTCTTGTTAAAAGACAAGAAAGGTACAATTCAGAATCTCGTGTTCATAACCTAGCATCCAAATCCACTGTTGAAAGTGCTGCATCCCAGAGCCCTGTTGATAACGCTGCATCTCAGTCGCAACCTGGAAAAAAATTAAGCACAAGTGACACTGTTAAGAAAGTTCGACCAATGATAGATTGGGACCATATCCGGGCAGTGACTATAGAATGGGAACAAAGAAAATGGGCAGATTTACCAGCAATTAAGAAAGATCTTTACATAGAATCCAAAGAGACAAGTTTGATGTCTTCAGTTGAAGTAGAAAAATGGAGAAAAGATAATTTTTCCATAATCTGTGATGATCTGAGAAAAGGTGATAAACGTCCAATCCCTAATCCAGTGTGTAAATTTGAAGATGCCTTCAGTCAGTATTTAGAACTGGTGGAAAATTTAACCAAAGCAGGTTTCAAAAAACCTACACCAATTCAGTCACAAGCATGGCCAATTATTCTACAAGGAATAGATCTTATAGGAGTTGCCCAAACTGGAACGGGCAAGACATTGTCATATTTAATGCCTGGTTTTATTCATCTTGTATCTCAACCAACAACTAGAGAGAAAAGGAATGGACCTGGCATGCTAATCCTTACTCCAACTAGAGAACTAGCTCTTCAGGTAAAAGTTGAATGTTCTAAGTACTCATATAAAAATCTTAAAAGTGTTTGTGTCTATGGTGGTGGAAATAGAAAGGAGCAAATAAAAAATGTTGCCAAAGGTGTAGATATCATTATTGCAACTCCTGGAAGATTAAATGATCTGCAAATGCATAACTTTGTCAACTTAAGAACCATAACCTATTTGGTAATAGATGAGGCAGATAAGATGCTGGATCTTGGATTTGAACCTCAGATAATGAAGATTCTGTCAGATGTGCGTCCAGATCGACAAACTATCATGACAAGTGCAACTTGGCCAGATACTGTCCGTCGTCTTTCCCAGTCTTATTTGAAAGATCCTATGATTGTTTATGTTGGTACTCTAGATCTAGTTGCTGTAAATACAGTGAAGCAACATGTAATTGTTACCAAAGAAGAAGAAAAGAGAGCTCATTTTGAAAAGTTCTTGAATAATATGGCACCTGAAGACAAAGCCATTGTGTTTGTTAGCAGAAAACTCATTGCTGATGACATATCAAGTGACTTAGGCATCCAAGGCGTACCTGTACAATTATTGCATGGCAACAGAGAGCAAGAAGAGCGCGAACAGGCATTGGAAGAATTTAAATCTGGTGGTGTGAAATTAATGATTGCAACCGATTTAGCATCTCGAGGCCTCAACGTTGATGATATTACACATGTATTTAATTACGATTTCCCACGCAATATTGAAGAGTATGTACACAGAGTGGGGCGTACTGGAAGAGCTGGCAAGAGTGGTACATCGATAACCTTAATTACCGAAAATGATTCGAAGGTTGCTGATGAATTGATTAACATTCTGAAGAGAACAAGTCAGAGCATCCCAGAAGAACTTGTAATCATGGCAGAAGAATACAAACAGAAGATTGCTGAAAGAAGATAAAGAAAATATTAAGAAAAACAGGAGTTTTAAAGCTTAAGACGAAAAGTTGTACCAACATACTGGGAGGTTAAAAGCAAGTGAAAGATATGTAATACTCAAGATACACAGGAGGATTGGAAACATTTTGCCAAGCAATTAGAAGAAACACCACTTCTTAAATAATAACCTTCAGCTTTTAATCTTGTTCATGCTCCTTAATAAAAAATGTTTCAAAATGAAAGAAATGTTAAATTCGGTGGGGGAAAATTTAATGTTATATAATGGTTAAAGTACAGCTTTTAGAACCTTCTATGTCCATCTGTATTTTCTAATTAGTGAAAGAAAACTGTGTGCTTTTTATGCTTTGAAGGAGTTGTACAGAATTGAAGTAATGCTTTTATCAATCTCATTGCAGCTAAAATGTTCTTTTCTCCCCAGTGATTGGTGCTACAGCAACCCCTAATAATATCCCCATTATAATCCCCTTGGATTTTTTAGTTGATTAGAAAATAAGTGCTAAATGTTCTAGAAGAATCAGCAATTCTATTTTATAAGACTGACTCACTGAGAACCATGTATTTACATGAACTTTTGACTTTGCCTCAATTGTATCCAATTTATTTGACTCTTTTAGGCCTTAATTGCTCCATTCAAGAAGTGGCATGGAGTCTCAGTTACTCATCTCTTGTTGTTGGGACAAATACCCAACACTCAATACTAAGGAAGATTAAAAAGAAACCTAAGAAAGGAAAAGTTTATCTAGCTCGCAGTTAGTGGGGTTTTCAGTCCATACTTAGCTGGTTCCAATGCAGAGTGGCTCATGGCAGACAGCAACTTTTCATGGTGGCTGCAAAGAGCAAGAGCAAATGGGAGGCACGTCAGCTCAGGCAGCTAACCAGTCTCTCTCCCCTCCTTTCATTGTAATGCAAATTACCTTCCCCAAGGCAGGTGCAGCACTGCACCCACAATAATCAATCATAGACTACAGAAGCTGACCCATGACTGCATGAGGCTTTGGGGGACACATGTGCTCAAACTATAACACATGGTAATATTCAACAATGTTGTGGTTCCATTCCTCAAAATCTTCTGTCATATTATAACTAAAATTGTACTCCCCAGCCTTGTGTTAGCATTTTGACTAAAGAAAATTGCATCTCTCTATAATGAATCAAAATAAGGAACACTTTTTAGTTACCCAACATGTATATTGTGAAATTTTAATAGATTTTTGTAATGTATTTTTCATGTTTACCTTTATTCTTTGTTTTGCTTTTCATTATTTTTAGTTTTAATTCAATTTGTCTTTAAAAGATCAAAACAATACATACATATTAGAGAAAATGAATTTGAATGGAAATGTATCTTACTATCACAGTAAACATCATGCAGTCAGTCAAACTGACAATTTTGCTATAAAAGGCAATATTGCAAAACTCATTCTCATTGTATTTATAGTCATATCTCTAATGCCTTCTTTAAATGCAAGCTATATTTTAAACTTGCAAAGTGAAGAGTCCACAATATATTAAATAAATTTTAAACTTCAGTATTTAGCCTCAACATCTTTGGCAAAATGATGAAAAAATTATTGAAACAGCCTGTTTTCCCTGAGTGCGCCCGAGCTGAAAGAGATAAACATGTTAGATATAGGTACCCTCTTTATATAGACCTCAATATCTCCTAATAAAATTAATAAAAACTGTCCACATTTTTGTTAGTTTTTTTCTGTATTTTAGGGAAGGGTCTACAGGGTCTTCAGGGTCTCACCACTAGATGGGACTGATAATGATTCTCCTGTTTACAGCCTCCCAAGAGCTGGAATTACAGGGGCACGCCACTGCGCCATCTCAATTGCTGTCTCAGTGCGCCCCATGGACAGGGCTGGCATGGCAGATCTGGGGATGGAACCCCCAGCTCCTGGGCCTGCTTGCAGGCACTTTAATTGGCTGAGCTATTTGGCTGGCCCTGAAAAGTTGAGAAGGATTTTTTTTTTGGATGGCTAAGGCTGCCTAAGGGTGCGTCTGATGAGGCAAGTGGAACTGGGGATCAAACTGAGGCCCCCTGGGCCTGACTGGGTTTGCCCAAGCAGGCGCTTAAACAACTGAGCTAACCTGCAAGCCCCCTGTGCATATTTTTGGGTAACATATGCCAAGTATCTTATCTCATAATTTATAATACCTATAAGAACCCACCATAAAAGATATTCTTATCTATATTTTGCAGAGGAGAAAATATTGTCAAAGGAGGTAGATATGTCAATAAGTTTGATTAAAGAAGAATTAAGTCACATTTTAACCCAGATATAAATTATTCCAGAATTTATATTATTTTCATTTCAATATGGTGTGAAAAATACATTTTTTTTGAAATTGATCACAAGTTTAAGTAGCTATCTTAGTTACTTTCTCAGTGCTGAAACAAAATACTCAATACCCACAAGTTAAAAGATGATGTATTTTAGCTGAGAGTTTAGAGAGATTTCAATCCAGAATCAGCAGGTTCTAACGCAGGGCATCATGGAGGAACAGTTAATGGAATGGCGGGTATGAAGCAGCAACCAGAAACAGAGTGAAAACATGACAGATAGATGATAGATAGATGGATGATAGATAGATAGATATAGATAGATAGATAGATAGATAGATAGATAGATAGATAGATAGATAGATAGATGACAGATAGATAGAACCAAAACATGTATATATCAGGAAAAGGAAAACATGTATAATACTAAATTTAACCAAAGTCCTAACCATTTTAGCATTGCTAAAAAGTCCAACTCCCAAGACTCCTCTGAGATGTAAGGCAAACTCTCTCTTAGCTGCAAGCCCTTGTAAAAATGAAACCAATTTAAACACTTGCAATATTCCATGGCACAAGATGGACATGGAATGGGAACAAAGAAAGTCTACAATCCAGCAGGGAAAACATTTAGTCCTGTAGTTCCATGTGCAGCATCTAAGGCATTCTCGGAAGTTTTAAGCCTCAAAGGGCTTGAGGAACACCACTGCTATGACCCTTCTTGTGGTTACAGCTCCCATGGCTTCTCTCTTAGGCCTGTTTTTTTTTTTCTCTCCTTGCAACTTTCCTTAAGTGATCCCTGTTCCTGGCTCTTTTAAACTTCTGGGGTGTCTACTGCATCTTTAGCTTCACACTCACAGTTTGACACACTGCCCTCTCAGGATCATACTGCCCAGCCTCCTAGGCCTTCTGAAATAGAGATGGAAGCCTTTGTAACCCCATAATTCTTGCCTTCCATGTGTACCTAAAATCAGCACTATGTAGATCATGCCAAGGTCTGCTGCTATCTCAAACAGTAGCCAAGCTTTCCTCTTTCTTACCTATGGTGTTCAAGTGCCTGGATCACTGGGCACTCTGAATCCAATTCTGAAGAACAAATTTTTTATGCTCTTGTCATTTTGGAACCTGGTATACCCACTTCCATTCTGTAACATGATGCACTAAGGCTTTTACCTCAAAGCAAAGTCTTTCATTTTTACATTTTTTAAGGTTACAAAGAGTAGAAACTTATTGTATTTTGTGATGCCCACAGGACCTCTTTTATATTCTGTTCCTTTTCAATCTTTGAGATCTCCTCAGCTCTATCTTTTTAGTCCACAGCTGTATAGGACTGGATCTTCCTTTCTGGCCAAACTTACAATAATTAAATAATTTTTCTGGGCCCTCTTCTCTTGATTCTGAGCATATATCTGGCTAAAATCTCCCACAATAGCCATGCCACAGCCTTAATATTTGATTGCCTTGAAATTTCTTCTGCCAGATTTATTAGTCCACTTCCCTTGATCTCAGTCAGGCAGTCTCTGGTCAGAAGCAAAATCTAGACAATCTTTTTGCCAAGCCATAGCACACATCATCTGGAGTCCAACGGTCAATGTAGTACTTCTTCCCAGCAGAAATCTCCCTACCCCAGTCTTTACCAAGAAGATTTCTATGAGTTTTGTGGTCTTCTGAGATGACCAGATTCTCTCATAGATAACAGCTTAACACATTCAGGCACTACTTTTTAAGGCAACATCTCTAAAACTTTTTAAACAGTTCTGGCAAATCATTTCCAAAGGCACTTGAACCACATTATCAGGTTTATTCAAAACAATGATCATATTTTTGTGCTATCAAATTCTTAGTTACTTTTCTTTCATTGCTGAGACAAAGTACTCAGTGCCCAAACTTAAGGAATGTATAATGGTTGATCAATTGTGTCAACTGGAGAGGTTTAGAAGTTTAAATTTTCTCAGCATTTCTACACCCTGGAGTGTAAAGTAGCCACTTTAGTGTGGCTCATTACCTACATGATATAACAGGGAAATGAACAGAGAAACCTCCATTCTTTGGAGGAACTCTAGTCTTCACCATCAGCTTGGATATCATCTCCTGACTTCTAGTGCAGGCTCTTCAGCTTCCACTTTGAATCCTTCAGCCTTCTGGTGCAGACTCATCAGCTTTCCATCACAGACCCATCAGCCTCCTGATATGGACTCGCATGGAACACTGAAGTGAGCTCCAGACCTTGCACTGAATCCTTCTGTCTCCAGTATGTGGAAACCTTCTGCATGCTTCCTCATCCAACACTGTAAACTGATCTTCTAATTTCTTATGCATTTATATACCTTGTGATATAACTGTTTCCCTAGTAAAACTCTGACTTATATAGAAGGAAAGGTTTATTTAACTCACAATTCATGGAGGTTTCAGCCTGTAATCAGTTGGCTCCAACACAGGGTGTCATGAGACATTTACAACAGCTCAAGGTGGCAGAAAACAGCAAGAGTAACAAGTACAAAAAGGAGGAGGCAAGCCTACTTTCCTCCTTTATATTGAATGCAGGCTGTCTCCCCCAGAGCAGTGTAGCACTCACATCTCCCTTCCCTCCCCTTGCACAATATGAGGATATTTACAAAGTGAGGACCCTGACCCCCTGATGAGTCACTTAGTTAAATTTCCAACTTTTCATGTTGACACAGTATATCAATGCTCTTCTAGCCCATGCCCACAGTGAC